TACGATCTCGCGCGAGCGCACGCTGTTCCAGAACAATCAAACCATAGTTATTCAGGAGCTAACGAGCAAAATTCCCGCGGGAGACGTCCCGCGGCAGAAATCCGTCATACTGACACGCGACTTAGTGGACACGGTGCGCGCCGGCGACGAGGTGATAGTCAGCGGCATTTTCGCCGTTGAAGAAGATCTCATCGTGAGCACAAAATCTAGTTTTCCGCTTTTCTCGCAGTACATCGAAGCGAACTCAGTTCAAAAGCGCATCGAACGCAAGCTACACGACTTAACGAACAAGGACGTCGCCATCATTCGCAAGCTGGCGAAGCATCCTAGAATTCGGTCGAAGATTTTGCGCAGCATCGCTCCTTCAATCTGGGGCAACCAGCACGTCAAAAACGGCATTGCGCTGGTAATGTTTGGCGGCAACCGGCAGGCAGGGTCGGCCAGTCACTTTATCCGCGGAGACATAAACATGCTGATTCTCGGAGACCCGGGCATGGGCAAGTCGCAGTTCTTAAAGTACGTGACGCACGTGTTCCCGCGCTCGATCCTCACGAACGGAAAGGGTGCGAGCGCGGTAGGGTTGACTGCTTCGGTGCGACGCGACACTATTTCTGGCGAGTGGACGCTAGAGGGTGGCGCTTTCGTGCTGGCGGACAACGGAATCTGCCTCCTTGACGAGTTCGACAAAATGAACGAGCAGGATCGTGTTAGCATCCACGAGGCGATGGAACAGCAGTCTATTTCGATTAGCAAAGCAGGCATTGTCGCGTCATTGCGCGCGCGCTGCTCTGTGATCGCCGCAGCCAACCCGATTGGCGGGATATACAACCAGAACTTACCGCTGAAGGAAAATGTGGACTTGAGCGACCCCATCTTGTCGCGTTTCGACATCATCGCGGTCGTGCTCGACAGGAGCTTTGTGCTGCAAGACTATAAGTTAGCTAGCCACGTGCTCGAATCACACCTACGTGCTACGGCCGTGTCCTCGGTGCCGGAGACTCAAATGCATGTGGTCTCGCGCGAAAGGGATGCAAAGCCCGCGGAAGAGAATGACCGCGAAGGGCTGAATACTATGCCCGAATGGGTGACGAACGACGACCCGATACCGGACGAGTTTTTAACTAAATACGTTCTGTTCGCGCGCGAGAACTGCCACCCCAAGCTTCAGGCTTCCGACGAAGCACGACTTGCCAAGTTTTACTCGAAGCTGCGCCAAGCTACCGCCTACACGGGCGGCATGTCGCTGACGGTGCGGCATTTGGAGAGCATCATTCGCATCAGCATCGCAAATGCGAAGATGCGCTTGAGTGGCGTGGTGTCTAAGACCGATTTGGACTACGCAATCAGCACAGTGCTCGAGTCATTTATACAGTCGCAAAAACTTTCTATCGCAAGAGCGCTGGGGAAGCGGTTTGGCGTATACAGGGTGCTGGCGAACAGCATGGACGAAACAATTGACAACTTGATAATGGAAATTATGTCAGAGCAGTTCCGCGAAAATTTCATGGGTGGCGGAACCACGCAGGAAAAGCTTTCACACTGTTTGATTGAAATTCGCGAACTGACGAACATTTTGTGCGACACGCACTCCGTCCCTCACGAGGCTGTCAAGCAGCACTTCGAATCGGCTTCATTCAAGAAAAAGTACGAACTAGTAGTAAGTTGTCCAGTAAATGACCAGACGCAGAACAACAAGTCCTACCTGAAACCGCTGTATGTATAATCAGCGGGGCATTGCTATGTATTTTTACGACTAAATTTAAACTGCATTGGTTTTCGCGGCTTCTTCAGCTGCAAGCGCAGCCTCAAGCTTTTGCTGCATAATATTGAGCAGCTCAGGCGTCTCTTGCAATAACTGCGTGAATTCTCGATTGGCCAGCGACATTTGCGTTTCATCCGCTGTCTGTTCTTCCGTCTGCTGCTTTTGTGGCTTTGAAAATTTCTTAGCTTTCTCGAGCTTGCTCTGATACTTTTGCCAGCCGGGGAGTTGCTGCGCGCTCAAACTTTCCCAGCCGCTGCCGCCTGCTTTGTCGATCAAGAAGAGGCTGTAGTAAATGTTGATTACGTTGATGAGGAAGAGCCCATTGAAAAACGAAGAAATCAGGAAACGGTACCAAAATGTGTTCGGCCAGTGCAACACACCGAAGAACAACAAGTTCACCGACTGTCGATTGGAATATAGTTGTGTTTCTTCCAGCAAAAACCCGTTTCGGAAAATGCGGAGTACGTGCAGCGAAATCAGCAGCGTCACCGAGCTGTATAACGCGCTGCCGATGGATTGCAAGTAGTAAACCCAAGCGCCGCCGAACAGCATGCTGAACAGAGTCGCGACAAAGTTGAGTCCTTTTAGCCAAATCTGAATTTTAAACAGGCTGAACACGAAGGGGAAGGACAGAAAGCCGACGACCTCGGGTGCGCGTTCGATTAGCTTGAATGAAGGCGGTTCTAGCAGAATGTGGGCGAGTCCATTAGGTTCGAAGGTTTGGGGCCGCAGCGAAGAGGCCAAATAGCGAAAGTCAACGATGAACGAATACGCGCAGTATCCTCCAATGATGTACCATGCCAGTTTCAGAGGCAGGAAGTAGAGCTTGGCAAGCTCGCCGAGTTTTTCCATTCCAAGCTGTCCTAGGGTGCTGCTACGCCGTGTGTGGTGCAAGAACGGGCTCTGCTCGAGGATTCTTTTTGAAAATCCTTTAAATAGCTAATTCCAGTGATTTTCGCGTTTAGAATCCTTGCGGGTTGGTGTAGCTCTCGGCAAGCAGCGAGAGTAAGTCGTGCTTCTTCTCGCACTTGGCATCAGGCGCAACTTTACGGACGAAGAACGTGTTTGGACGTGCGACCAGCTCTTTGAGAGCTTCTTTAGTGATATCTTTTACAATGCACGGCATGCGCGGAGGGTAGTATTCCGGTTCGGACGCAGGCAGCGCTGCCGTAGTACCTTCTTTCGTCTGCGCTGGTAGCGAGTTCGACTTCGTGTCGGCAGGACTCTCGACCGGGACGCGTAGGCAAGTGATGCCGGGCGGCTCATGCCAGAAGTCGATGAGCACTTCTTCGTTACGCACGACATCGTCATGCGAAGTGGCGTGGCGCGCATTGACGAGAGCCATCAGCGGAAGCAACTCGTCGCTGGCAGCTTGACTGTGCGGACGCACTGAGGTCTTGCCGCCAAACTTCTCGAGCGACTTCGAGGAATGTGAGAGGCTGATGATACCGGTTTCTTTCGCGAGCAGAGCTTTGCGGAAGCGGAGAATCGCGCGCGCATCTTCCGAGCGCAGCAGTATCCACTGCGAGTGTTTGTATTCTTTGGCTGTCTGGTCGTCCGCGAGTACGTGGAACACGCTTTTGTCAAGAGAGTCGAGGTACTCTTGAAAGTCGACAAGTGGTTTGAGAGGCACGGAGTCGGACGACACGAGCATAAACCACGCGCGTTCGTTCGCAGCTTGCTCGAGCGCGAACTCAAAGAGTCGCAGCTCGCAAGCAAGCAGTTTGCTCCACTCACAAGTCGCTGGCTTCGGCACGAGTTGCACCCAGTCAGGCAAATCGCTGCCTGAGTTTCCCCCGCTTGAGTGAAGCAAAAACTTTACGTCGTCGCTACCGACGCTGCTTTCGCGCGCCGAAGCTGACCAAGCCGACCAAGCGGTAACGGTCTCTAAACTCGGCTTTCTTGAGAGTATTAGAATGAAGAGCGGGCGCGCCTGCGCTGCTAAGCTCAGTAAAGAGACGAGACGAAGTAATTGCATGTGTTCTAGAAGCTCGCGCGATTAATGTTTTTTACGTGTAGTCCGCGACAGCGAAGGAGCACGTTGCGTTGCAACACGTGCTTGCCGTTTGTTGTGTCGGAAGTGCATAACTGCACGAGTTCCGGCAGGTTGGCGAGCACTTTCGCTTCGTCGAACTGCTGCAGCGGGTAAATGTCGAACTCGAGTTGGAACTTATCGCGCAACGTGCGCAACAGGCAGATTGACTGGCCCGTCAGAGCGCCGAACAACGCGTAACTTGGCGCAGAGCTGTTCGCGAGTGTCATGACCCAGATTACGTACCACTGCAGACTCGCTGGCGTCGGTGCCGCGAACGAGAGCTCTGCGAGCAGCTGGTTGCAAAGCTGCTGTGTACGCTGCTCGCAAAGCGCAAAAAGATCGTCATCCGGACTACACTGCGATTTTGCGACGCAAAAGTCCGCGGCGAAGCGCAAGGAGGATGGAGTTTCAGCTACCAGCTCAAGCCCGAAGCCAGGGGATTTGCCGGCCTTCTCTTTGCCGAAAAGCGACTTTTTGACAACGACGTTGGCGTTGACGCGCCGAAATATTCGGTAGACCTCGTCGGAAATGCGGTCGGTGAAGTTGCGCGCCATGTGGCACGAGAAAGCGTCTGCTGAAATTTTTGTGACTTTCTCGGGAGCCAGCAGCCGAAAGTTGGGCAGTTCGGAAAGCACCTCGTGGTAGATTTGCACGCGACCGCCGCCCTCGCTCGGCAACCCGTGCGCGAGCACCTCGAGCCGGCATTCTGGCAGTCCGACCTTGCGTTGGAACGCACACACAGTCTGCGCTAGCGAGGCGACGGCAGCGTCTGTCGCGCAGTGCGTGAGTCCAGTCAGCACTGCGCGCAGCGGAAACTTCAGAAACGGCGCCAGCAACAGCAAGAATTCGACGTAGTAGGCAATGCCCCGCGTACTGGGACATTCGAAAACGAACTGCTCTTCGCGTCCCTCGAGCAGACCGGCGTCGACTTCGACGCGCGTGTTGTGCATGCTTAGGTGGATGCGGGACGCCGGCGAAAGCAGTTCGAGGAGTTTCAGCACGCCGGCTTCGTGCGGCTGCAGTCCGGCGGCGTCGATGCCTTCGTAGTGAATCTTGTCTATCACCAGGTTGTGCGCGTTGACAGCTGCCATTGCGATTCGAAGCCGAAACTGCGCGGCGCCTTCAAACTCGAGACGAGCCCTATGGCTGACCATGGCGGACGGCTCGCGAGACAGGCTAAACTTGGCGCAGGCTACGCTACGCCAAGAAAAAAGGAATTTACGTATTGTGTTATTTAAAGTACGTAGTCGGCGAACTCAATCACGGTGTTTTTAGAGGTCAGGCTGCGGTAAACCGCTGCGAACGTGTGCAGCTTCTCGTCTATGTTCTCGACGCTCCGCGCGCGCGGGTGCAGGAAGACCTTGTGCGTCAGCGTTCCATCGGACGAGTGGACAACGCGGCGGCCGGCGATCGAGACGCCGCCAATGATGTCCTGGAGCATCGCGTCGTGGACATGCGTCAGAGTGCGGCTGTAGGGGCGGATGCGCAGTCCCGGGCGGCGCTCGTTCTTGTCGAAAACGTCGCGCTTGGCAACGAAGCAAACGTGGCCTCTGATGCGCTTCTCGAGCTCGCCGACGCAGCGAGCGTGCATTGGCTGCAGGTAGTTCACGTAGTGGCGGACCGGGATTTTGATAATCAGCGCGCGCATTCCGGTTTCCTCAACTGTAATCTCCTTTACACTGAGAATTTTGATGCTGCCAAACGCGGCTTTGGCAGCCGCGGACGTCGTCGACTTCTTAATCTCATCGACAATGCTGAGCAAGTGCGAATGCAGGTTTTGAGATTTTTCGGCCATGATGTCGAAAGCGCTGCAGAATTAGCAGATAATTTAAGATATGTTTTGTCGTAAAATTGACCGTTAATTGGATTTTTGCACTCGCCCGTCAGCGTGAGCGCGCGGAAGTCGCTGACCTCGCCGCGCCAGCGGAGCTCTTGCAATTTACTGTGTAAATCGGAACCGCGATTTAGTTTTTTGAATTTCTATCCGCATCAATTCCATGTCGCGCCGCGAAGCGGAGGAGCACCGTAGTAGGGGCTACCGGCTGCTCAAGAAGAACTTTTTGGCGAGGCTTTTCGTAAGCATTGACTACGACGAAGCGGCGCAGGCGTTCAAAGCTGCCGCGCTTTCCTACAAACTCGCGCAAGATTGGGCTGGTGCGACGGAATGCTGGCTGTTGGCCGCGGAGTGCTGCGAAAAAGAGCACAATCTGTGGGACCAGGCAAACTTCCTGGTCGAGGCGGGTCTCGCGGAGATGAAGCTCTCACCGGAGAGCGTCTCGCGGCATTTGGCGCTCGGCTGCCGGTTGCACGCCACGAACGACAAAGCGAGCGTCGCAGGCAAGGTCTACTCCGCAGTCGCGGAAGAGTTCGCCAACGCGGGTCGCGAAGAGCTCGCGCTGCAGTGCTTCGAAGAAGCGCGCAAGTTCTACAGCGTCGCGCAGTTCTCGAAAGTGTCTGAGCGCGGCGCCGCGCAGAGTTGCGCCCTGCTGCTCGCCAAACTGCGGCAATACGACAAGGCGCTCGAGCAGTTCGAAGCACTTGCGAGAAGCTGTGGCGACAGCAGTTACGAGGCGAAAAACTACTTGTTCAGAGCAAGTCTGGTGCGGCTCGCGCATCAGGATCTTGCCGGAGTCGAGCGCGCGCTCGAGTCGTACTGCGAGCTCGCGCCGGACTTCGCCGGGTCGCGCGAAGGCAAGTTCGTGCGCGACTTGGTCGCGGCGGGCAAAAAAGGCGACGGCGACGCGGTGCTCGAAGTGTTTAGCCAATTCGCGCAACTTACGCCGCTCGACAAGTGGCAAAAGCACTTCGAGGTGCTCATTGTCTCGAACTTCGCGGGGCGCAGCGGCGCCGCCTCGAACCGCGCAAGCGAAGGAGATGCGCATTCTGCCGGAGCCGCGGGCAGCGGCGGCGCGCTGCATGACGAGGAGCGCAGCAAAGAGCTCGCTGCCCGGCTGGACGCAGAGTACGATTTGCTGTAGGCGGCGGAGCATTCAGCATTGCGTCATCCGGTGCTGCCTGTCGGGTGGGTCTGTGTTCACGCCCGTTTCTGTGACGTCTTTGAGCCACACCTTGCGCACGATGTCGAGCAGCGTCTTTTGGTGCACCTGGCCGCAAACTTTCTGCAACTCGGCGCAGAAGCAAAACGGTTGCGCGAGCTGTGGCGCGCGGCCCTCCTCCACGCAGCAGTTGTCGAGCTTCCACGTGAGGTCTCGCGTCAGGTGGCGCTCGAACTTGAGCTTCTGGTCCGTCTCGTGCAGCTGGGCGACGAGGTCTGCGCTTTTCTGTTCCAGCGCGACGATGCGGTCGTGCGCGGCGCGGCACAGACTGCGCGCTTCATCGGATTCCGCGATCAGCTTCACGCGCTCTGCGTCGAGCGCGGCGACTTTGTGCGCGAGCTCCTCGTTCTGCTTTTTGAGCTTGTTCTGCTGCTTCGCGAAATTGTCGCGCAGGTGCGCGATGCGCAGCGACTCTGCGTAACCGAGTCCGGCCGAGACCTTGAGTTCGTAAGGGCCGCGTAGCGCAGCTTCGCGGCGGGACGGCTCGGCAGTGACTATTTCATTGGACATCTACCGCTGGAATTTCAAGAGACTTTCTTCCGCTTTATTATTTTTGCCAATTATCGCCGTGCGAATGCCGGAGCAGGAGGCGTCAAATGGGTAAGCGGCAGAACCTGCTGAAGGTGTTCCGGCCGCCGTGCTACTACTGCGACCGGCGGTTCGCGAACGAACAGTCTCTGATACTGCACCAGAAGTCTGTGCACTTCAACTGCATGTACTGCCGGCGGCGGCTTGATAACGCAACTGGGCTCGCCATCCACTGGTTGCAGGTGCACAAACGCAATCTCTCCGAAGTCCCCGAGGCCTTGCCCGAGCGCGCGGCGCTGACGCCGACGGTGCGCGGCCTCTCCGGCGTGCCGCCGGAGATCATCGAGACGTTTGTGCAGGCAGACATCCGCGCGGCGAACGAGCGCAAGGGCTCGGCTCGCGCCCCGGTCTCCAACGCGTACGGCGCCGGTCTCATCGAGATCACCGAGAAAGGCCTGTTCATCGCAGGCGTCGACCCGAGCTCGGAGCTGTTCGCGAAGACGAAGGCCCTGCTCGACGCAAAGCTCAGTTTGTCGCAGAAGCGGCGGCGCACAGCGCCCGCGCGCAAGACTGCTGCCGCAGGCTACGGCTTTGCGGAATGGTCTCGTGCAAACCGCTACGCCGAGAGCGGCCCCGGAGACAACTCGAACTACCACCGGCCCATCATTGGCTCCTCGGCTGCCGCGCTGCTCGACAGCGCCAGCGTAATTAAAGTGAAAGACCAGCCGAACGTGCGCGTGATTTGGAAATATGTGAACGTAAGTGGTCGCTGCGCGCAATCTCAGCTCTCGCCGGAAGAAGTGCGGGCGTGCAAGCTGCACAAGGTCTCGCTGATCGTCTAGCACGGCTGACGCGGCCGCGAAAGACCGTCTCTCGCTCAGGCGAAAGCGTGGCACAGCCTGTGTGGCGGCGGGCGCAACTTACGACTCGGCAGTTTTCTTGCCCAGTTTGCGGAACCCGTCTTTATACGCGATCTTCGTCTCGGCGAGCCGCTGCGGGTCTTTGCACTGCTCGAGCAGCGCGCTGAGCGTTTTGAAGTGCCGCACCAGTGCGCAGGCGAGCTCTGCGGACAGCGAGCGGTGGCAGAGCAAGATGTTTGCGAACGTGTTGCGCTTCACGTCTTCGAAGAGCATTTTGTTTTTGCGGCGCCGCAGGCTGTCCCGCTGCACAGGCGCCTGCGCTTTGAGCACGGCAAGCTTCACGTACTCTAGCGCCTCCGTCGGCGAGTCGCACTGCACGAACTGCACGTTTTCGTAGAGGTATGCAATGCGCAGCGCGCTGCTCAGCTGCGCGAGCGCGGACTGCGGCAAGAAGCAGACCGCTTTCGCGAAGTTCGCTTCGCTCACAAACTGCAGGCTCGCGAACGGCGCGGCAAAGAATATGAAGAAGCCGACGCCGCTGAGCTGCGCGCGCGCGATGTTCAGTTGCACGCACTCCGCGGGCGCCTCGTGCGGCGCGCAGCCGCACGCGACGCGCGGTTCTGGCGGCGCGCAGAGCTTGATGGGGCAGTTAAGCGCGAGCCAGTCTGCGACTAATGACTCTTTCGAACTGGCGCGGCTTTGCCCGCAGCGCGTGCAGAGGCCGCGGATCGCGATCGGGATCACCGCGCTGGTTGCAGATCTGTCGCGCTTCAGGTTTGGCGACGCGCGCCGGCGCGCGTCGCGCAGCCGCCACGGTGGTACGAGCGCTCTAGCTGCATAACAAACTGCAGTTTCGTATTTTTATTTCGAAATTGGTGTCGAGAGAATTAGCGTCAATTGCGATTTAGAGAGTTGATCTGATCTCAACTGCGCTGCAATGTATGCATGAGGAGTATTTCAATTTAGTGGCACACGGCTACGAAGTTATCGGGCTGCTCGGCACGGGTTCTTACGCGCGCGCCTACAAAGTTCGGCAGTTGAAGACTTCGCAGATCTATGTGGCGAAGGCGGTGGATTTGTCTGAAAATGAGGAGAATCAGCGGTACCAAGCCTTCCAAGAATCGCAGTTGCTGGTGAAGCTGGATCACGAGTTCATCGTGCGCTGCGTCGATGCGTTCGTGTACGAGGATTTGTTTTTGGTGACGATCGTCGAGTACTGCCCTGGCGGCGACTTGCGGCAGCTGATCGCGAAGGCGAAGGCTGACACGCAGTACTTTGCCGAAGAGCAGCTGCTGCGCATGTTCCAGCAGCTGCTTAGCGCGCTGGACTACATCCACGCGAACAACATTCTGCACCGGGATATCAAGCCGTCGAACATTTTCATCACGCAGAGCGACCAGCTGAAGCTCGCCGACTTCGGCGCCGCCGTGGTGCTGCGTACGGACATCACGCTGCCCAGCAGCACCGCCGGCACGCCGCACTACATGTCGCCGGAAAATTGCCGGCGGCGTCCTTACACGTTCAAGTCCGACGTCTGGAGTATGGGCTGCGTTTTTTACGAACTGGCCTATCTGAAGCTCGCCTTCGACGGCGACTCGCTGCTGTCGCTAGCGTTTAACATTTGCTTCGAAAACCCTCTCGAGCCGAGCATCGGCTACTCCGACGGGTTGAAGAACCTGATCACGCTGCTGCTCAACAAAGACCCGAACAAGCGGCTGTCTGCGCGCTGCGCGCTGAACCTACCGCTCTTCGCGATGCCTGGCCGCAAACTGCGGCCGCGCGCGCGCGTGAACCAGATCCGCATCGCCTGTACTGCGTTGAAGTACTCGATGCACTTGCACCAGCTGCAGCTCTCGATGCTGCAGTCCTTCGAACAGTGGCGCGCGCGCGATGGCCTCGGCGGCGGCGAGCGCTGGGACACGCAGCTCGCGCACGACGACGCGAGCGTCAAGCGGTTCTTGGCGTACTTCGAGACGCACGGACAGGAGTACTTCATGCAATGCGGCCTGCAAATCAGCAGCCTAGAAGCTGCGAACTTGGTGCGCAGTTTCCTGCAGTACTTCGTCGCGCTTCCCACCTTCAAAGTTTGCGAGCTGCTCAGCAACAACGACTTCGAGTCCCGCAGCTCGCTGTTCGTGCTGATGCGAGCGGAGTGGCTCGAAAAGCTGCCGGAGGTGTACAGCGTTGTGATGCGCGGGCTCAGCGACGAGCGGCGCGACGCGAACTTGGCGGCGTTGAGCAACTACGAGTTCAGCGCGGCGTGCGACGCGCTACCGGAGGCTGGCTGCGACGAGCAGGCGCTCTTTCTGTGCTACTTTTTCTACGTAGCTTGCAAAACGGCGAAAGGCCGTGTGAAATTGAAATCTACGGTTGACCATGTTGAGTACGCGCTTAGCAAAATGCTTTCGTACGCGCTGGGTTGCGAAGGCTACGCCGAGACTTATTTTTACACGCAGCTGAACCACCACTTGCCGGTTGCGTTGCTGCGCTCGTTGAAGAAGCGCGTGCTGTCGAGCAACCGGCCGCGACTTGCGCGCGCGCGCGAGCTGCTCTGCGCGCCGCCGGCGCGATGCAGCGAGCCGCCGTTCGCTGCGAGCGAGGACGACGCTGCGTCCGACACTTGCAGCTTTGCGGCGTCGGACGAGACGCGCGGCGCGAAGCCGGCAGCGCTCTCCGCGATCTGTGCGAACGCGAGCGCGCGGCTGCGCCGCTCGACTTCCACGCTGTGCAGTGCGCTGCGCGGTCAGCAGCGGGTGGCGCGTTCGGTTGCAGCGCCTACGTTTGCTGCAACACCGGAGGAGTCGTGCTCCACTTGCAGCTGCTTCAGTCCGGATTCGGAAAACTTGCGCAGAGCGCTGAGCCGCGACGGCTGCATCCGCAGCAACGCGCTGCGCGGCAAGCCGACTTCGCGCGCTGCGATCTGCGCCTGCGCGTTCGCAAGCGCGGACGTGTCGACAGCCTACTCGCGGAACGCTTCACTGGGCGTTAGCGGCGAAC